TCTACTGCCGCCTCTGCCTCCCGCGCCTCCCGCCGCTGCCGCGACGGTGTAAAAAATCACTCAGGTGGAAAAACTGCTGTGTGTTGCTAATAATCTACTATTATTACTGTAGATTATATTCCAGAATTTACAGTGTTTTATGAAACCAAAGCCTCAACATGAATGATTTCACACATTAAAGCAGATGTTATGACTCCGTTGAGTATTTTTTCTGAATACGTTTTCTGGCAAATTCCTTCCATGACGGAGCCCCTGCTGAAGGGGGAAAGTTTTTAAAAGGGGAGGAAAGAAGAAAAAAAAGTGCGTGTGTGTGTGTGTGTTAGTACGAGCCAGTATGAAACTTGAACAACAGTGTTCATCGTTTCATCAGTGTACTCTGCTTTCCTTTGAACACTCAGTGAGTGATGAACACACTCTCAGGCCTCAAAGGCAAGGGAGTTGGTTGTTCCTGTTTCACGGCTCCGGAGATGTTAGCCTGCACTTTGGCCCATATAGTTTCTCCTGGTGGTGAGGAGCGAGGGGGACCAAAAGGGGGAGAAAGAAGAGGAGACGGAGGAAGAGGTAGAAGGAGGGAAGAACTGGCAGACAAGTGGTTAACTTTCCACTGGCAGACTGGTCTCTTTCCCATCTGGTTGACGTTTTCACGGGCTGAGGTTTGACAGCTGATCAGGCCCCTGGGGTGTCTGAGGAGCTGCCAGTTCAGAAAGCGTCCCCCTTGCCTCTCCCCCCCTGCTCATCTGTATCTGTATCTGTATCTGTGTGTGCCAGTGGATGGACCCTGATACTTTAGGTGGTACTGTACGTCCAACGTATTTCGCAATGTGCTGAGAAAGACAGACAAGTCAGGGTCTAGGAAAGTCCTGGTGTGAGGACAAAGGGAAGTGAACTCCTTTGTCATTGTGACACAGCACACAACCAAATGTGACCTCTGCTGTTAACCTATCACCAAAGTGAACAGGGGGCAGCTTTAAACGCCCAGGGAGCAGTGTATGTTGGACGGTGCCATGCTCAGAACACCACCTCAGTGGTAACTTGGCAACTGGTGGACTCGAACCTGGAGCCTTCTGGATTCAAGTCTGCTTCCTTAGAACAACTAAGCCACCACTGTGTCAGGACAGTCTTGGTGTCAGGACAAAACCTGGTGTCAGGACAGTCTTGGTGTCGGACAGAACCTGGTGTCAGGACAGTCTTGGTGTCAGGACAGTCTTGGTGTCAGGACGAAGCCTGGTGTCAGGACAGTCCTGGTGTCAGGACGAAATCTGGTGTCAGGACAAAACCTGGTGTCAGGACAGTCTTGGTGTCAGGACAGTCTTGGTGTCAGGACAAAACCTGGTGTCAGGACAGTCTTGGGGTCAGGACAGTCTTGGTGTCGGGACGAAGCCTGGTGTCAGGACAGTCCTGGTGTCAGGAAGAAATCTGGTGTCAGGACAAAACCTGGTGTCAGGACAGTCTTGGTGTCAGGACAAAACCTGGTGTCAGGACAGTCTTGGGGTCAGGACAGTCTTGGTGTCGGGACGAAGCCTGGTGTCAGGACAGTCCTGGTGTCAGGAAGAAATCTGGTGTCAGGACAAAACCTGGTGTCAGGACAGTCTTGGTGTCAGGACAGTCTTGGTGTCAGGACAAAACCTGGTGTCAGGACAGTCTTGGGGTCAGGACAGTCTTGGTGTCGGGACGAAGCCTGGTGTCAGGACAGTCCTGGCGTTTGGACAAAGCTCTGTGTCAAGACAGCTCTGGTATCAGGACGAAGCCTGGTGTCAGGACAGTCCTGGTGTCAGGAAGAAATCTGGTGTCAGGACAAAACCTGGTGTCAGGACAGTCTTGGGGTCAGGACAGTCTTGGTGTCGGGACGAAGCCTGGTGTCAGGACAGTCCTGGTGTCAGGACGAAATCTGGTGTCAGGACAAAACCTGGTGTCAGGACAGTCTTGGGGTCAGGACAGTCTTGGTGTCGGGACGAAGCCTGGTGTCAGGACAGTCCTGGTGTCAGGAAGAAATCTGGTGTCAGGACAAAACCTGGTGTCAGGACAGTCTTGGTGTCAGGACAAAACCTGGTGTCAGGACAGTCTTGGGGTCAGGACAGTCTTGGTGTCGGGACGAAGCCTGGTGTCAGGACAGTCCTGGCATTAGGACAAAGCTCTGTGTCAAGACAGCTCTGGTGTTAGGACGAAGCCTGGTGTCAGGACAGTCCTGGTGTCAGGACGAAATCTGGTGTCAGGACAAAACCTGGTGTCAGGACAGTCTTGGTGTCAGGACAAAACCTGGTGTCAGGACAGTCTTGGGGTCAGGACAGTCTTGGTGTCGGGACGAAGCCTGGTGTCAGGACAGTCCTGGTGTCAGGACGAAATCTGGTGTCAGGACAAAACCTGGTGTCAGGACAGTCTTGGTGTCAGGACAAAACCTGGTGTCAGGACAGTCTTGGTGTCAGGACAAAACCTGGTGTCAGGACAGTCTTGGTGTCAGGACAGTCTTGGTGTCAGGACAAAACCTGGTGTCAGGACAGTCTTGGGGTCAGGACAGTCTTGGTGTCGGGACGAAGCCTGGTGTCAGGACAGTCCTGGTAGCAGGACGAAGCCCTAAATACAAATGTCATTAATGGCGTATTTGCTGGAACAATACTTGGGCCAGATTTATTACAATATTCCTGGTTGTAGTGGTCCACACACCAGTGGTCCGCATAGTATGGACACATTAGTCTGTGGTCCTTTATTGGTGCAAGTAGATGATTTCAATCTGTGTGACCTCCTGACCGTTTTGACACTTTTTAATTCCTTTAATTTGGCCCATTTATTCTGAATCAATTGTGTGGTCGCTCCTATTTGACCAAATCCGGCCTACATGATGTCCACATGTCCACTAAAGGTATTTGTCAATATAGCTGCACAGTACAAGAATTACTTTTGTATTTGCCTGAAGATATTTGGACCACACGTACCATTTTTCATGTTGGCCACTTAGACTAAATGTAATTTGGGCTAAGAGTGCGAATCACTGCCACCAGTGACCCATATCATAACATTACATGGAAATGTCAATTTTTTCTGGGCCGGATGAAAACATGCCTAGTGGCCCATATTTACCTTGTATATGGAAAGATATAAAAACAAATTTTATTGCAAGGTTGACGGTGTCCTTCGGCCAGTTGATTATCGGACCGTCTGTGTCACTTCCTGTCCACATGTTAACCTATTGCTCATAGCCCACCTCAGTGGGGACTATCTCCGGTTCTCTGTGACATCAGTGGGGACTATCTCCGGTTCTCTGTAACATATGTCATATGTCCACACTGAGAACACTGTGTACCACCGAGACGCTGAGAGGTCGTTAGATCGCGGAGGAAGTCTGGACAAATTCAGCCTCAGTATCCACGGCCAAACCACATTAATTGTGCGAAATGTCTTCCTCCACAGTTTCTCGTCGTAAATATTTCCCTCTTCTGCTGCAGCGGCAGCAGCGGCAACAGCAGCAGCAGCTGTCGCTGATGTCAAGGAGACACTTTTAGTAGACAGTTTGATTGAGGAGTGACATCCGGACAATTTTTCTCCAGATAAAAAAAAAAAATAACCAAGAGATTTTCCACTTCTGATTCTTTTTAAAACTAAAGCTTTAACAGTTGAGTTAGTCAGAAAGATACTGTTTTTCTCAAGAAGGTACAGACCTTGTATGAAGGTCTTTGCTCTTAAGTGTTTTTAATAATGCCATATTTCTTTATATTTTCAGCGAGTGGAAAAGAAACTGTTGATAAAAATAACTTGTTAAGGGGTTTTTTTTTTTTTTGTTCAGCCCAAGGTTCCAGTAAATTGATGTTTTTTATCAAACTATTCACATACAGATATGATTGTGATAATATAGAATATATTCCTGTGGTAATCAATCTCTGGTTTAGGCCCCACTGGTGGATCATGAACTTTAATGGTCGGCCAAAAACACTACTTATTATTATTATTATTATTATCCCTGAAATGGGATAATAATAATAATAATAATAATAACAAATGTTATTATCATCATCATCATCATCATCTTCTTCATCATCATCATCATCATCATCATCATTATCATTATTATTATTATTAGATTTTAATCCAGATCATCTTTAGGATTAGATCACAGATAAAATCAGGTGAGAAACACTGACCCCTACCTGCTGATATTGGTCTGTCGGTTAGGTACTTATACATCGAAATATGTTCATGTGATTTATTCTAAACACATCTGTAAATAACCCTTTTCTCTCGTCGTGTTTTTTGGGGCAATTTCCTGTGCTACGGTTACCAAGGCAACAACAGGATGTACTGTAAATAAACTGCACACTTTGTGTCGTCGTCGCAGTCTTGACGGTAAAGAAAAACATTGTCGATGGTCATACTTCGTTTAAAGATTTTTGAAGAACCAGACTTTGACTCACGTGTTTGAGCTCCAGGAGAACTTGTCGGGTCAGTTCTATCCTCTTCTTGTTCACGTGTTTGATGGCCACCAGGTTCCCCTGTGTTCGGGTCATCCAACAGACCAAACGCAGTCATTAGTCATATGGTCCATTTCATTACAGGAAAGTTGTGAAAAATCCAAAAAAAAAAAAAAAAAAAGTTCATTTTAATGATGAAGAGTCAACTGAAAGAATACAGAAAGCATGAATGGGACATAAACGGGAGACGCAAAATCCATCTGCCTGTCTCCTCTGTCTTTAATGTCCTGTAGTTGACGTCACCCTGGATGTCAACTCAGACCTCAGCACTATCCCCTAGTGGCTGGCGCGCTCGTACAACCATACCAAGCACGTGTCAGAATGGGAGGTTTCGATATAGACAAATATTTGGTATTTACATCTTAGATGGAGCATGAACGAGGTCGTCAGTGTGGGTGTGGCTACACAGCCAACCGGGACCCTCACCGTGAAAAACTCTTTGTAGGTTCTGTAACTGTGAAGCCTTGTGTTCGTCAGTGTATCAACGAGCGTCTGTCTGAAGACTTTCCCTCAGAAATACGCTTTTAATTTCAGCGGTATTTTCCTGCTCTCGTGACGGTTCATACATAACAAATACATTTGTCAGGTCGGTGAAATAACCCCAACTCTAGGACTTCACACATCCTGGTGTAACTGTCTGACGTAAATACTAAAGGTGCTGCCAGTGATGTTGCCTTCGAGTTCTGTGGCTCTGTCAATCAGAACCACCTCTGACCGTCTACTCTCCACGATCTGCTGCAGTTGGTTCTCCCTGGTGTCAGGTGTTCTTTCACCTTGGGGCCTTTTTCTGTCTCTGAATTTGAGAAGCTCATCAGTTCTGTGGCTGTGACATCAGCGTTTTCCAGAAAAGCTAACACAACCACCCCACCAACGGGGCCCAAGACAGGGGGGCGGCGGCGGCAGAGGCTGCTGCTGCGTACAAACCGAGAAATATAAGGAGAAAACGTTTCTGCAGCTAATATTCTGAAGCAGCCACCTAAAATCGCCCACACTCTTCTTTCTCTTTCTCTGTGGCTTCTCTCGCAGCCAGTGTGCACAAGTGTGGGTGGAGAGCAGTGCGCAGGAGTTGAAAATGTCAGAACTCGCTGAGCCTTACCTTAAAATAGCCCGTTTTTGCAAATAGCTGATATTTTCCATGGGCAGTTATCAAGGAGCCATAGCTGGAGCCTCTCTGAGAGAAAGAGGAAAAGTTTGGATTAGAGACAGGGCCACAAGTCACCAACAAAAACCCACTCTGAACTACCAGACATGTTTCTCACTGGTGTTGTGTTGTTGTACAGACCGGCGTCTGGATGTGAACGTGTCTCCAACCGGTTGAGTGACCGGTTGTATTATCATATCTGTGTTATCATTTTTTTTAAATTGAATCATACGTCATACGTTGAAAACGAGTCCTTTTCCTGACCTCTTTGTAGCCGGGTTGTTTACCTTCCTCGTGCTACGTCGCGTTGGATAAAAAAATGGCAGCTAAATGTCCATCCATCCATCCATCCATTTTCATCCGCTTATCCGTTACCGGGTCGCGGGGGCAGCAGTCGCCACCCAAATCACATTGTACCAAACCTTCCTGCAGGTGGTGAGTCCACTGGAAGGTACCAACCGCCCTAACCGGGATTCGAACTTGACCAGGAGGTGAACCCTGGGGTTCCACACCAATGACAGAGACATTGCCTCTGGGCCAAAGCGCCACGCAGCTAAATGTATATATGTAAATCATAAATCATAATTTTTTATTACATTGAGTATTGATTCTTTGTTGAGTGTCGAGTTGTTCTTTCGTTGCCCCACTATCTATTCCAGCCCTTGGGGACAAAGTGTCAACAACAGTATAGTCCAGGCTTGGGGCAAACCTTTTGACTCGCGGGCCACAATTGTCCTTAAAATTGAACAGGGAGGCACGGGTCAGGTGTCCTAAAATTGAACAGGGAGGCCGGGGTCAAAAGCAGATGGAGATGGAGAGTTCACGTGAACTAAGATAAAAGTCATGCATAAAGGCTAAAATGCTAAAACGCTTTTTATCATTTTCTACCTCATTTGGGGAACTGTGGGTATTGCAGGGAAAAGGCAGAGGTATGATGGTAATATAAATTAATTGTACAATTTGGACCAGTCTGGTGGGCCGGGATACAAAGCTGAACGGGACACATCTGGACCCTGGGCCTTAGTTTGCCCGTGCCTGTTAAGGTCCCCAAAAAATGTCCCCATATGTATAGCTTTAAAAAGGAACAGCAGCGTAGAAATACATACACGTTGGCATGGAACATACTGTAAATGTTGTTAACATATGGTACAGTGGAAAATACATTTACGGCATGGAAAAAAAAGACACCAGTGATGAAAAAGCCTCAGCACAGACATTTCCACAGACCGGGTCTGGACCCACACACAGAGATCGTGATGGAGTCTGATCAAAGAACATTTTGGTTCTCTTCCAGCCTCTCACTTAAAGGAGAATTTCTCTGAGATTGAACCTGTGTGTGTGTGTGTTCCGTAAGTTGACAGAAACACCTCTGGAAACAGCGTCTGCATCAAAACAGTCTTTCTTCACAATTCTGTCCCTCCATCTTCACAGTTCTGGTTGCGATACCACTGCTGAGCGGCAGATGTTGCCTTTAGAAACACCGAATTTGAAAACAAATTTGAAAACGTATCTCGCTAAATCCGGTCCGTCTGTTAAGACTGAAAGACACAGGTGTATATGCTGAAGCCTGGGGGACATTTGTCCAGTTTCTCCAGGTCTGTGACTCTTGGTTTTTCACATGTGATTTTAGGGTAAAGTCAAAAAAAAAAAAAGGTTCGCGAGAAAGTGACAGTGATTTAATCACATTCTCATTTTCTTGGCAAAATGTGAAAACCAGGGTCAGCCCAAGGGGGACACTGTCCCAAACCAAACATTAAAAAACAGATAAATAATAGTGTTTCTGACATCGTGATTAGCAGCAGTGATATCACTATTAGCCGTCCGACTGTCGTGCCGTGGGCTCGGTCTCGTGCGTAATTAACACATCGTCGGTTTTCCGGCCGATTCCAGCCTAACGACGCTTCCTTGTCAGAAGTAAACCGCATCTCACTGTGGGGGAGCAGTTTTTACTCCACACGGAGCTGACGGGCGTCAGCCTGTGAATGCTGCTGCAGTTAAATTAGACCTAACAGGAACGGAGGAAAAAAAAGGGTGGATGGGTAATTGGCCACGCTTGAAGTTTCACCCTGTTACACACTCGGCTGCTGCATATTAAAAAAAAAAAAAAAAAATACCACTTGTGGTTTTGTCCTCAAGACAAGCAGAGTTTTCGGCTCCAAATCCATTTTTGTTTTGTTCTCACATTCCCCAGAGTTTTCCTTGCTGTTTTCCACATGTTAACGGATGGAGGTTACTTCCAAACTGTATGTACGAAGGCCCGACTTCCTGTTTTTATGTAGTGCTAACACGAGGGATCCACAAAGTATTCCGGATTCTGTGAATTCCGAATCACTTCAATGACTTGTTTCACCCTACAAAACATCCATCCATCCATCGTCGTCTGTTTATCCATTACCAGGTCGCGCGAGCGGGCAGCCTTCACGACCGCCACCCAAATCACACTGCACTGCACTAGCCCCTTGTGAACCTTCCCGTGGGTGGTGAGTCCACCGGAAGGCGCCAACCGCCCCTAACCGGGATTTGATCTTGTCCAGTGACGGACATTGCCTCTGGGCCAAAAGACATTTTTAGGACTAAAAAACACAACAGTGACCAAGTACCGTAAAAAAGAATCTGGGATTCTTGTTGATTCTTGTTGATTCTTGGAGTCAGGACCTGCAGCGGTTTGCAGCTGAGTGTGACGCCACCGGGCATGAGAATCAGCACCTCTAAATCTGAGGCCATGGTTCTCGACCGGAAAAAGACGGCTTGTACCCGTCAGGTCGGGGGAGAGATCCTACCTGAGGTGGAGGAGTTTAAGTAACTTGGGGTCATGTTCACGAGCGAGGGAAAGTGGACTCACCACCCCTTCCCGTGGGTGGTGAGTCCACTGGAAGGAAGCCAACCGCCCTGACCGGGATTTGATCTTGTTCCAGGAGGTGACACACCAATGACGGACATTGCCTCTGGGCCAAAAAAACATTTTTAGGACTAAAAACACAACAGTGACCAAGTACCGTAAAAAAGAATCTGGGATTCTTGTTGATTCTTGTTGATTCTTGTTGATTCTTGTTATTCTTGTTTTGTTGATTCTTGTTGATTCTTGTTGATTCTTGTTGATTCTTGTTGATTCTTGTTGATTCTTGTTGATTCTTGGAGTCAGGACCTGCAGCGGTTTGCAGCTGAGTGTGACGCCACCGGGCATGAGAATCAGCACCTCTAAGTCCGAGGCCACGGTTCTCGACCGGGAAAAAGACGGCTTGTACCCGTCAGGTCGGGGGAGAGATCCTACCCGAGGTGGAGGAGTTTAAGTAACTTGGGCTCATGTTCACGAGCGACGGAAAGATGGAACGCGAAATTGACAGCGGTCACTGCTCAAGTCGTGTCCCGCTGGGAGGAGACCAGAGGACACGCTGGAGCCGCTGTGTCGCTCAGCTGGCCGTGGGAATGTCTCGGGATCCTCCCAGAAGAGCTGGAGGAAGTGTCTGTGGAGAGGGAAGTCTTGGTGTCTCTGCTCAGACTTGCTGTCCCCAGGAACCTGGCCTGGGATAAGCGGACGATGACGCGTGGATGGATGGATGGATGGATGGATGGCTGGATAGTGAGTCGAGGATTTTTTGCTAATATGGACGCGGGACCTGCCGCTTTACCACCGCCTGTGGCCAGTTTGTGTCATGACATCCAAGTAAATAAAGATTTCCTAGCTGGTATTTTTGATGAATTCGGGAGGTATTGATTTATTCGTAGGAATTGAAGCAGAGTTGAGCGTCCCGACATAAACAAATTCGGGAGGTATTGATTTATTCGTAGAAATTGAAGCGTCCCGACATAAACGTGTCTGCCCTGATGTCAAATCATCCATTGTCTCTGTGGGTTTTACTGCAGGAGAGGAGGTTCAAGTTTGAACTGGTTCTGCTTTTAAAATGGGCACTTTATAAATATGAATTAGAAATGTGAAATGTTTCTGATAAAATTAGCATTTATACCTGATTTAATATTCAGTTGAGGACATTTTTGGACTAACAGAAACCATGAAATTGGGATTATTTGACTCCTGTTTAGTGAAGGGACACTTAAAAATCTCACCTGAGACAGCGTCAGTCGACTTCCGGCTCTTTTATGATACTTGTTGGGACTCTCAAACTGAAGATCCTCCCACCTGATCCGCCACAACATTCCGGCCAGTTCCTTCTCCAGCTTCAGTTTCCTGCAAAAACAAAAAAAAAAAAACAGAACAGAGTTGTAGGACCATCTCTGATATGGAGCTCTTCTGAGAGGAGCCTATGGGATGGCAAACAGAGATGTCATTTCTCAAGGTCAGTTGGTGACTGTTGATAGTCCACAAAGTGGGCCACATTCTTGTCTTCAGAATCACCGTTAGACAGGATAAGTGGGTGGTCTTCTCAACAGAGAATGAGTTCCCTAAATATTTGGGGCATGTCGTCCTAAAAATGGGCTGCATTGCTCTGACCTGATGTGGACTGGACTCTTGTCTTGTGTGTGTGGTCATCATCTGTGTATAGTCCATATTCAACATGTTTGGGCCACAACTGAAAGCGGGCCACATTCTACCTACCTGACTGATCTGGGCTATTTTTTCATAAACTACCAAACTAATCTCTACCTGACTGATCTGGGCTATTTTTTCCATAATATAAACTACCAAACTAATCAGGTCCACAGAGAATAGAAATCAGAGAAATACGTTTGAACACATTGGACTGAATGTCTATGAGACCAGGATCTGACTTCCACCTTTCGACCTACTTTTTTTTTTTTTATCTCGATTTTTTTTTTCTTGGAGGTATTTCCTGAGATACTGCTCCGTCTGGACTCCTGAGTCGGCTACAGAATTCTATGCGCTGCTCCTACAAATGTGCACTCGTTTTGCCTTTTTTTTTTTTTTTATTAGACTCTAACTGCACTGCTGCGTAATTACGCCCTGATTATTAAGGTCTGGCGTCGTCTGAAACCAACTGTTGTTTGTTCAGGTGAATGTGTTTTGTAGTTCTGGACAAAACAGCTCTTTCTTTGAAACGCCAACCCAAAAAAAAAAAAAAAAAAAAAAAACACACACAACGTTTGTACAGTGAAAACCCTGATCTTTGAGATCGCAGGGCTTAATCAGTCACTTAGTGCAAATGCGGTAGAAATGTTGCAAGTGGACCTGAAAACGACCGCTCACCTCGTCTGACCTTTTTTTTAAAAAAAAAATCAAAAGTTGTTCGATTTAATGTGAGGCTTTAAATGCAGCGATGTGGAGACTATAAGAAAACAACAGAGAAAGATTGAAGGAAACTGTAATGCTAACAAGCCTCCAGTCACTAGGTGGCAGCAACTCATACGGTGGTTTGTACAGATAAAAAAATATGCATGTTCTCAGGTTCTCAATAGTTCTTAGAGAAAGTCAACGATTTTTTGCCTCGATCACTGTGTTCAAAGTGACATGTCAGGAATTACGGGTTTCAAACCCGGCTCTTGTTTCCTTCGGATTTAAAAAAAAAAAAATTGAATTTCTCTCATTGACTTCGATGAAGAACAGCTAGAAGTGAACAAACGCTGTGAAACACAGTGAGCTAGAATTCACAATTTAAAAGTGCGACAAAAAACAGAGTTGATCATAGTTAGTTGCTGTCCACTAAAAGGGACAAATGCTAAAACGGACATCGGCAACATTTCTACCTTCGCTTTATATATATATATTTCTTTTTCTCCATTTTGACCATCCTTGAGCTGAAAATAGTCACCAGGTGTATTTTTGTATGGAAATGTGGTTAAATTCAGCTTAAAATAACATGTTATCCTTCCCCATAATATGCTAATAGTGGGGCTGGAAAACCTGTTAGCTAAAAATGCTAGCCACCCAAAAGCTAAACAGTGCCTAAAACTATAGAAAATGTTGCTAAAAGAGGGGAAGAGATAATTGTATGACCAGATAAAAAAACAACAAATATCCAACAGTAGAAGAAGAAAAAGAAAAAGAAAACGAAAAGCGTGAAGCTTTGTGAAAAGGGGAGCAGAGCCCACACATTCCTGTCCAATCCGAAAGGTGTAAAACACTTCCAGATGCGGCAGGAAATTATTGCAGCGTATGCACATCGTTGACTTTTAGCTTGCTACCCCAAAAAAAAAATAGCAAAGTTGGCCTCAGACCTCACCTGCTTTTTTTTTTTTTCCCTCCCCCCTTTAACTTTTCTTTCCTCGTTTCGTGTTAGCTTAACCTGATTTCAGACTCCAAAAAAACAGGGAATTCTCTCTCTCTTTCTTTCTCTCTTGTTTGTATCTCCAAACACTCGTGTCCAAACTGCCAGTGAAACAGAGTAAAAAAAACTCCGAGAAGGAGGAGGAAAAAGAAGTGATTTTTCTATTTGGAGAGGCTGGCTCTGAGGCCACAGGGCCAAAGTGTCGGGGCCTCACACTGGCTCTATTGTTTCATCAGTCCCACATGTGAATCCCACGGCTGGAGCAGCCAGTCTATTAAAACAACAGAGCCGCTCTGCTCAGCGTCCGCTTGCAGCAACAGCACCAGCAGCTGCTGACCAGACGTCGTCCACGCGCTCACACACAGTCAGACACACACACACACACACACGTACGCAAACTAAAATATTTACGTTTGAAATGTCAGTTTCCCGTTAGTGCAGTGTGTGTGTGTTTTTCGCAATCGCTACGTTTTGTGTACATTCAGCGGCCATCTTGACTGCTACGGAACTTTACGCCGTACTGACTTTTGACCGTTTACAAGAACCGCCGGATTCGAACCGGTGACGTTAGTGTTGTGAGTCTACCGCAAACGAACTGTACCTTTTTTTTTTTTTTTTTTTTTTTTCTTCTTGAGTTTTTTTTTTTTGTGAACACAAATTTACGTTTGAAATGTCAGTTTCCCGTGTGTGTTTTTTTTCGCAATCGCTACGTTTGTGTACATTCAGCGGCCATCTTGGCTGCTACGTTGGCTGCTACGGAACTTTTCGCCGGACTGACTTTTTCCCGTTTACAAGAACCGCCGGATTCGAACCAGTGACGTTAGAGTTGTGAGTCCCCCCGCAAGCTAACTGTCCCTTTTTTTTTTTTTTTTCTTCTTTAGTTTTTTTTTTTTTTTTTTTGGGTTTTTTTTTTTTTTGAAAAAAATTTTTTTTTTTCGCTAAATTGTACAGAATGGAGTCAAACACACACACACACTCACAGACAGACACTGACAGCTTCACTTTTATTCAGTCTCACGTTTGGGGCGAACAGAGAAACAGCTGCAAAAACAAACGTCTTACAATGATAATAGAAGATTTTCACCACCACCACCACCACCTGTTTGTGATACAAAAATACATCAATTATTTCACAGTATATAGGATTTGAATCCCTTCACCGATCACCACACATGGATCACCTAGAATGTTTAAAATATATATGTACATATATATATATATATAATTATTTTGCTTTGAATTAGGAACAAATACAAACGCAGCAGCAAATATATATATATATATATTCCAAATATAATTGTATCTATTGACGGCTGCTTAACGTACACCGTGAGTACACGGCTAATTCATCTTAAACTTAATTCTTAATCATTTTTATTGTGCTATAGTATTTTAATTTTTTTTTTTCTCCCCTGTTCATTTTTTACTTGATAAAAAAAAAAAATATATCCACGTTTTATTACCCTGCAGTATTAAAAATAAATATATTCTGTTTGATGATTGCATGGTATGAGCATCAGAAGACTTTTCGTGTTGGAAAATGCGATTAAATGGCAGCTTTGTCTGGTCAGTGGTGTCTGTTCCTGTCGGGTCCTTCAGCGGCTGGACACCAGTTCAGGAGGTGTGTCCGTTCACCGGTGTCTTTCTGTGGAAACAGGAAGTGAGAAACTGTTATTCTTTACCATCACGCACAGCAGTGACAGGAGCAGAACAGTTTTTAAATTGTTTTTTTGTTTTTTTTTTCGTTTTTTAACAAAAGCAGTTTCACAAGGCTGAAGAGACGGAAAGAGAAAGACGTGGGGGACAATGTCCCCGGAAATAATGTCGCTGTGACGGCATTTGCTTAGCGAGGACGTTTTGTCTTTTAGAGACACTTGCCTTTGTGGGGACACTTTGTCTTTGCGGGGACATTTGTCTTTGTGGGGACATTTTGTCTTTTAGAGACACTTGCCTTTGTGGGGACACTTTGTCTTTGCGGGGACATTTGTCTTTGTTTGTCTTTTAGAGACAC